AAAATGTTCGACGTTTCTCATGGTGACGGCCTTGATCAGATCCAGATCGCGCAGGACTATTACCGGCGTGAGGAATTCGTAAAAACCGACGTATTTCGCTTTGGGATCCAATTGATAAGTCTTCTTAATCAAATCCGACATGGTGATCTGCCGTGTTACGAACGGTCCCATGTTTCCAAACAGCGGTGACGGCGGAACGTGCACGATTCCATGCTTCTTGAACAAATTGTAATGCCTCGTGGTAAAGTAATAGAGGGCAACGAGCACTGCCACCAGCGACAAAGCGATCCACGCAGCGGCGAGTGACTGTAATGGCGTGACGACGCTCACTCTGACAGCAGACTAATTGTACGACGGCCACTCGATGAAAACCAGTTTTATACAGGGGAACTATGTCTTCGACGTGCAGGAACGTCTCAATGTCTTCCAACTCCTTCCCAATTTACGCCAGCTATGCTGTGTCACGGTCGTGCTACCATCGCTTTTACCAGCTGTATCACTCGTGATAGCCTATCGCGCTTGAGTATATCGCTATTAGACATTTTGCTGCATCATTGCCGAAGAGGAAAATTTCAAATCAGCGATCGCTAATTGAGCAATATCCATATCTGGGTAGATTGGCTCGAGGAGATACTATCTCGATATTAATCCTTTTTTGCGATACATTTTCGAGTGTAAAAACAGAAACAGCGTGGTTAATAAAGAAAAAAAAAAAAAATCATTTAGCATCTTGTTTCTCCCGTATCTCGAGCTTAACAGACAGACAAAACTGACAAGCTCGTTCCAAATAGTTATCATTCACATAGTAAATTCTTTATTGTGCTATCCATTTTGTCTTGTTCCAAGGCACGTAGCATGTAAATACGTAATACTTCCTGGAAAACATCGTGATGGTAATCACGTGGTATGAGTAACGAAAACTTCATTCTGATTCTAGGAAAAACATAATTGTTGCACATTATTGCACTGCGTCAAACGATCGCTTCGAAAGCAAAATTCTATTGATTGTATCGAGTAGCTGTATCTGACGTGATATAGAAATATGTTTTTCACTGTTTTATCGAAATACAGAGATTATCTCTTTAGCACTTCAACTGAAGTACATTTATGTCTTACGTTACGTCTTTCAATTTGATTTTCGTTGATTGTGAGTAACTCTCGCGTTACATAAACTGATCGTGATCTTCGGACGCGAAGCGAAGCAAAGTAATTATCGAATTGTGACGTCAGGCGTCCTACATTTGCACGAGCTCCAGATTAAAATTGCCATCGCGTATATAAAGAAAAAAAAAAAAAAAAAAAAAAAA